CTGCTTAAGAAATTTTCCGCCTTTCTAAGAAAACAGCATATTGAAATATTCGCAACAGATTTCCAATGTAAACACAATCTCGACTACTAGAAAAGTCCAACTCGTAAATTATCAACTACCGAGCCGAATTGAGTTTCGCTAACCGGAATTACAAAGGACTTGTTCCAAACGAAATTAAATAAATAAACATATATTATTTGTTTATATTTTTGATTCTGTTTATTTCTTCTCGAAATTTCCGATAAATATTTTTAAGAACATCTGTCACACCCCCATACCTTTAAAACAATAAAATTAATCATGAAAGAAAAATGAATCATTCTTAATTCAGTTTTATACCCATTAGAATTCTTTACAATATTTCAAGCACAATACAGATCTTGGATTTTTTTCAATTCCATAGATCGGTTCTCATATATGGCAGTTAATGATGCACAGTCGCATACTCGTTGAAACTGAAATCCGGTTCTACAGGAGGATGCTAAGAATACTATGGACAGAACATGTAACCAACGACGAAGGTATATAGAAACCGAAACGACACTTAGAAGCAGAAAGAGTGAGTTGAAATATCTGCATAATAACAAAAGACAGCCTGGAGATTTTGACACTCACGGGAAATATTGAAAACAAGAGGAAGAGAAGAAAGCAGCGAATAACCTACCTAACGTGTTCGTGAAAATGGTTGACACAAAAGAGATTGAGAGAGAGAGAAAGAGAGAGAAAGAAAGAGAGAAAGAGAGAGAGAAAGAGAGAGAGAGAGAGAGCAAAATGATAAACATTACTCAGTGCTACAAGAGACAGGAAGAGCCAGACATGACAAACTCCCTGAAGAAAAATGTCACATAGAAGAAAGAGAACATCTTCAGGTCACAGGCGGTCATGATTCTTCTCCAGAGATTTTCTTTGTTATTTGGAAATTGTCATGTTTCATGAGAGGTTTAGAGAACCGGTTTCACCTTGTATTTTTTGTAGTTGTGAATTCGGAAACAGCACCGAGTACATTCTCGCGCTATAGATGAACGAAATAAATCAACTCAGGTCTGTCCAAAAGGCGCGTGTTTAATGCATACACAACAGAACAGACTGAAATCCGAACGCCAAAAACTGTTCCTCAACCCTACTTTACATACTGTGTCATAAAATTGTGTATGTTGACCAGGGCACCTATCTTTATCTAGCCGTCCACCCACGAGGATTGCATGTGGCACAAGGCCGAGTTTAACGTAGGTTTCCAGAGCCCGTAGGCTCGGCCAAAAAAAAAAAAAATGCCCGTAGAAACTGTAAAAACAGAATCGGATTGGTCTACCTCCGCGAAGGAGGCTCTGCCCTTCGGCGGAGCCTCGTCCGGGTTCCTCTATGCTCAGAGGCACAGAGTTCGACCGTCAAGCCGAGAAGCTCGACTTGATTCATAGGCCAGGGCACCTATCTATGGATAATTTTTTTAGCAAGCTTGTCTTACAGACCTTTACCCCTATATAGTTTTTCTTTTTTCGTTTTTGAGTGTCTTGAAATTTTGTTCTCAGTCTAAAAGTCCTATGGAAGTCTTCGATCAATTATTCGGGCGAAGGCAACCATCCCATTTTGGTCCAACAAAGAAGGATTTGCTTCGTTTCGGCCGTTGTGACAAATATGGCGATCAGGTGGTTGGAATTTCAGTTCGAAATTCCAACGACCTTAAGAAGGCCGGAGCGTACAACGGCCGAAACGTTGTGACAAATATGGCGACAAAGATGAGGACAATAGTCCGACTAATGTAAATACTGTTCACAGGACAGACAGTGAAAAAAAAAAAGGAGAGTAGAAAGCAGCGTGTAACTTACTTGAGTGGCTTGAGTAAATGGATTGTAGAAAAAGGTTTGGGAGAAATAACGAAAAGGCAAAACTTATTGAGAGCTACAAAGGACAGGAAGATGTGGAGGCTCATGATCGCCTACATCCTGGTGGGATACGGTACATAAAAGAAAGAACAATCTTGTTAACGGTACCCACTGGTAAACAATCATTATTATGTGTTTTTCTCAATGTTTTAATTTTCAACTTCGGTTTCCCAGAATTTAGTTGCGATTGAGGAGCGACATACAGACTGATGGTGAATTTTAGTTGTTTATGAAGACGGAGAAAATAAGCGTTTAATAGAAGGTAAATAAAGTTGGCGACGTTTGACCTTCGTCGCGATAGGCAGAAAGGACAAGAGGCTGGCGGCTTTTATTGGATTTGTCTGTGAAAGTTCAAATTTTTTTTTTATATATATTTTTCATTTATTTTATTGCCTAAGGTGTGTTGCCAATCGACTGACTTAAAAGCAGCAATAACAGTCTAAAGTGTTGATGCAACTTTTATGCCTAGATTTTATCCTTTGAAAGAAAATCACACTCATCTGTTTAATTCCTCTTTTCTATCTATCTGTCTATCTATTTCTGTTTGTTATCTATCTATTTCTGTTTGTTATCTATCTATCTATCTATCTATGTTTTTCAACTATCTATCTACTATCTAAGTCTTCCCATGACCTATATATACATATAAGTTTTCACACGATCTAAGCTTTCTGATGGCCTATTTATGTAAATCTATCTAAGTTTTCCCATGGCCTATATATATACATATAAGTTTTCACACGCTCTAAGCTTTCTCATGACCTATTTATGTAAATCTATCTATCTATCTAAGAAGTTAGGACAATAATCCGACTCTAAAGAGTGTAAACACTGACAATTCCTCACTCCAGAAATACTTGATCCATCATTTCACCACAAGTATGCTACGAAGATACACGGGCTTACTGGGAGTGGGAGAAAATGAGAATGATTTATTGAGGATAACGGACAATAGAAGAACTGAGTTCACGAAAACAGCTTATGACTGGTACTTGTAGAAGGTTTTTTTATAGACACGAAGTCGGGGGAAAGTCACAATCAAATGAGGATTACAGTAGGAAGATATATGAGAATATCTTGTTCTACTGTATTCTATAGAAAAGTACGGAGCCCATATATAATGACACACTATCGTCTGACATATTTAACAGCAACACTATTTATTTAACTGGTTTTCCGCAGGTGTTGAAATTGTTAGCGTTTGGGAGAAAAAAAAGTGTCGAACCGTGTTCGAATTCCAGTCGAATTCCTTGTATTATCTTACGACCAAATACCATATATTGAAGATATGATTCCTTCTCTTCTTCCACCAGTGGAGCAGACAGAGTTTATTAACCTTGGTTGGAAGGGCGACTAAATCCTATAAGAATAACTGCAACAGAAAATTCGCATTGCATAATAAGGCTGTTGCTCTAAAACTGTTGTACAGGACGTGAGAAATATATATATATATATATATTAGTGGTAAATATACACATACATAGGCAATCATATATCTAAAATATACAGGGTAACCCGGATATAAGTGAGTTGTCGGGACCGGAGAAGAAGTCTCTTATATCCGGGTTTCTCTTATATCCGTGTTTGGTCTATTTTATATACATTAACACAAGCTCTAATATGTGACCAGAGAAAATCTCTCTTATATTCGGGTTTCTCTTATATCCGGGTTACACTGTATAAATATATATACATACATACATACATACACATACATATATATTTGCATAAAAAGTAATTCCGAAAGGATAGAATCCAGGTAGAACTCAATATATATATATATATATATATATATATATATATATATATATATATATATATATATATATATATATATAATGTAATGTAATGGACAATTATTTGAAGACATTTTTTTATGTTTATACGTTCTTTTTATAGATACAAATCTTTAAGTAAATGCTCTGTTTATAATAAACAGTATTAAACAACATTTACCGGCCTGAATGTCTGAGAAATTTCCATAGAAAATATGCGTCTTCCGACAGGAATTATGGAGAATTATAGTTTAAAAACCGTAAAATAGACCTTGCGAACCGAAATGCTCCTCTGTAGAGAAATCGGTAAAAGCACGTCAGGCTATATGACGGTTCCATATAGAATACAGGTTCGATTCCCGTCGGAGGACGCATATTTTCGATGAAAGTTTCTCGGACATTCAGGCCGGTAAATGTAGTTAATACTGTTTATTATAAACAGAGAGTTTACTTAAATTTTTGTATCGATAAAAACAACGTATAAACATAAAAAAATGTCTTATTGTTTTTTATTCTTTTTTGTTTATATATATATATATATATATATATATATATATATATAAAAGACATTTTTTTTGTTTTTATAGATACAAAAATTTAAGTATATTTATATCCTTACTCTGTCCTGGACATTGAGTTCTGCCTGGATTCTATCCTCTTGGAATTTTTTATTCAAACAACATATATGTATGTGTATGCATCTATGTATATATATTTGTATATTTTGCATATGTATGTGTATATTTACCACTAATATTATCTATAATTATATATATATATATATATATATATATATACACGAGGTCTGTCTGAAAAGTAACAGGACTAGATGTTCTGGGAGAGGTCCTGGGGGAAAGAGGAATAAGTGAATTGTGTTGTCATCTATCATGATATCTTGGGAGTATAAAACTGTAGAATCCTTCCAGCAGTGGCAGAAAAGGATGGAAAAGTGCATTAGACCTGAGTGGGGTTTATTTTGATTTTACTTCTCCTTCCCGTTGTTTTGGTTTAATACCTATTTGGACTGAGTCTTGTTTCGGCAAAACAGGGTCAGGAAATGTAACTGGGATCACGTGACTACAAACAGAATGACCACCTAAGAAAAAGTAGGAAGAGAATTTGGGGTAATTGACAACAAACAGAATGACCTCCTCAGAAAGGGAGTAAGAATCGGTAAATTATGCGCACGTGACACACATCAACAAGTGGGATTTTGGCATTGTAATTTTAGTTTTCCGATGATCTCTTACAACAACAGTTCGCGAGAAAAATAGATTCTCACCATGCGATCGTAAGGGATGAGAAATATACATAGAAGACTATTCCATTATTTGCTTGATATTGAATAAGGAAATTTCGTTAACTAGATCTGGGGTCTATTTGATTATTTAATGAGTGAAGTACAAAGAAATATTGTGCTGAAAATAAATACAAAGAAAACATTTTCCTTTCATCTCGGATGCAATCCAATTAACCAAAGGGAAACGGAACACAAGTAATATTCTGGAATTCTATATCACATTCCGGAAGAAAGATCAACCAATTTTTAAGAACACTCGCACTCCAAATTCTTGAAACACTAACGTTTGAACTAACATCAAATATCAGCTAAGTGTTATTTTATTAATTGTATGTCTGCCATTTTATATTTTTCTTATATTTTGTATTTTGTTATATACAAATTTGTATTTGTTGTTCGTTGGTACCTGTTCGTATGTTCCTATCAGAGAGAAACCCAATTCTTCTTTTTTTTGAACCTGGGATTAATATCTTTATATGTTGCGAATTCGTAAAATATATATATAATATTATAAGAATGTAGGACGTCCATGGCTAAGATACAAAGTTAAGCTGAAGAGCAACTTGTCCGCTGTCTATATATCTCCTAACACCCAAGAGCGCTTAACCTTGGAGCGGGTTAAATGGAGATCAACGTGTTTTAGTGGACTCAGCAGTTTTCAATCTGCATGTCTGAATCGTCTTCAAGAAGCTAGAGCAAGATCTGAAAGGTCAGCCAATCTAACGGTGATCACATCCCACAATTCTCACTCTTGCTCCATATGCAGCCACCCTTGTGAATTACTAGCGGGTCTTAAGTGCCACAAGATTATCGCACAACATTTCATAACTGAATCAATTAAGTTGTCAGATCTTCTTAGGCTGAAACCGACGGGAGAGTCCATTAATATATATATATATATATATATATATATATATATATATATATATATATGTGTGTGTGTGTGTGTGTGTGTGTGTGTGCTACATAACGGTTTATATATTTATCTCCCTATCTCTGGTTATCAGGCCTAGAGATCAACAATGTAGTGTTTTAAGTGTTTACTATTGAATTCGTTTATTACGATGTGGGTGATTTCCCAGGCTTTGGGCAAGACTTGAATAATTACCAACTCAGATGTAGCGTATTGATTGACATTTGTAGCAGTTGCGTTTTTGTAGCCATTGGATCTCTCTATTTCTCTCTATCTCTCTCTCTATTTATCTATCTATAAGTCGACGAATGAGGCTTAGCTTTAAAAGCAAATATTACTGAATGCGTTGATTACAATGTGGACGACTGGCCTCGGGCAAGACTCAATATTATCAAAATATATGCAGTATTTTGTCTGGCTTTTGAAAAGTAATTGTGTACAGTAACTCTGCAGTGGCTATAGGATGCATCTATGTCAACTTTCTATATTTTTCAAACTTACTTCTAACTCAAACTTATATCTATTTATCTATTTATATCGATTCATATCTGTTTCTCTGTTTCAATGTGTTCATATAAAATTATATTCATATCTCTGTAAGACATTTAGTATCTATCTATCTATCTATCACTCCTTATATATATCTGTTTAAGCCTGTATTTTCATATTTTTGTAAGACATTATCTATCTATCTTTCTCAACCTTAATTCTAACTCAACTTCCTATCTATCTATCTATATATATATCTGTTTATCCTGTTCATATAAAAGTATTTTCATATCTATGTAAGACATTATCTATCTATCTATCTACATATCTGTTTAAACCTGTTCATATAAAAGTATTTTCATATCTATGTAAGACATTATCTATATCTATCTGTTTAAACCTGTTCATATAAAAGTATTTTCATATCTATGTAAGACATAATCTATCTATCTATCTACATATCTGTTTAAACCTGTTCATATAAAGTATTTTCATATCTATGTAAGCCATTATCTATCTATGTTTCACTTGGTTCCTATAAAAGTATTTTCATATCTATGTAAGCCATTTAGTATATATATATATATATATATATATATATATATATATATATATATATATATATATCAATCTTTTGTATAAAAGTCTGTTCATATCTATCTAAGCCAATTACTATCTATCTACCTATGTGTCTGTCTATCTGACTTTATTCTTATCGCTATCTCGATCGAAGAGGAAGTCTATTAAAAAGGTTAGAAAATAACGAATATTTTGAATCAACATAAAAACAACACTGACAATGTAATAAGATTCGAAACGCCCACTTGTTATTGCTCCTGCGCGGCCGTCAGAGTCCATGCAACTTGTATCAGCTTCATTCCCAGCAAGAACCGACTGTGTCTATCAGGCCCGTCTGATAGCAGCAAGAAGTCGGGAGGATTTTATCGCTCTTAAGAAATGGTAGGCGTTGGTGCTGGTGAAACTCTAGTTGCAAAGAAGATCAGCATTCGTTGTTAGGAAATGCAAGTGTTACTGCTGCAGTAGGTTGCCGCTATGCATTGAAACCATTTCTGCCTTTATCGCCTTAGTTATAACGCGAAACGCGTAGTTCTATTACTGTTCTCAGTGCACCTGTCTTTACCT